TCCAGCCCCATGGTCATCTTTGACGAGGTCGATGCCAACCTCGATGCCCAGTACCGAACTGCTGTCGCGGCCCTCCTGCAGAGTATCTCCGACGAGGCCGGCACGCAGTTCATCTGCACCACCTTCCGTCCGGAGATTGTCCTTGTCGCGGACAAGTGCTATGGCGTCACATTTAGCAACAAGGCGTCCAGCATCGACGTCTACTCTTCGGAAGAGGCGTTGAACTTTGTGGACGGCGAGGCCAAGGGGCGGTAGGGCTAGGCTGGCTGGTTGGCCGGCCTGTACGTTTTGACGTCTGGTTTTCATTGGTGCGGGCTCTCCTGTTCGCAGGAACGGGATTTCTGGCGTTACGGGTAGGGGCGGTATCTGGTCCTGTCCAGCATGTGATGAGAGTGACGAGCGTGATGAGAGCTTTTGTCGGCCTCCTCCTGTAGGAGAGGCGAGAAAGCTATTTCTTGTCTTTTGCCCCATATACCTCAATGTATTTTGTGTCCCTCACTTGCCATTCAGTTTGTGATTGTGTCTTGTGTGTTTTGACCGAAGAGCGAGTTTTGTGACAACGACAGCCGTCTCTTTCCCGTCTCGTCTTTGATCTGATTGTAAGCCCTTGGGTCTGGCGTCGGGGAGTACTTTGCTAGTTGCTTTAGGCACGACTCTACTGTATGGTTCAGCATGACAATATATATAACAAGCACGCCAAGACGGCATGATCCTAGAAATGATTACGGCGCTGTTCTCGAGTCACACTTGAGGGCAACACACAACAGGCCTGAGGAAAATCGAGGTTCACCAGAGAAGAAGAAACGCCTGAGCTCCATTGATCCATGTAATGCATTATCGGTGGTATCTGACCCCGCCCATACCTGAGCCATCCACATCAAAAGCCCACCAGCCGAGTTCCTGGGGCGGGAGTCGCTCTTACTTCTTCGCCGCCTTAGCCTTGAAAGACTTCAACGGGTCGCTCTTCTTTCTCCCGACCTTGAACACCCTGTTACTGTTCTTCTTTCCGCCCGCCCGACGGCTGCTATTGCGTCGGTCATTCTTCTTCCTCAGCGGCACGAAGCCCACCTCATCCGCCGTCAGTCCCTTCTTGCCATCGGCCGGGAGCAGGTAGTCCGGCACGTGCCTGAGATGCGGCTGCATCCTCGCGGCGCGCAGCTCGCGTCG